TATATATATATATATATATATATATATAAAGCCATATATCCTCCTAATATTAAAAACAAGAAACATATTACTTCAGTACTAAAGAAATTATGTTGAATGAGATCCCAACCTTAACATAAGAGTGAATTATTAGTATTTATCATTGCTACCAATACGAATAGTAAGTATATAAATAATTTAGAATCACTGTAGTAACTATTAAAACTTTTCTGATTTAATAAACCTAGTACTTTTGTGACTTAACAGTCAGTATCAAAAATACATGTGCTACTATCACAAAAGAATTTTCAAGTTGAGGTATGTTTTTAGTAACAGCATTGGCTGTCTTTATCTTTTGTGCAGATGATTTTGTGAAAGATTTATCCATACTTTATGTAATTCAAAAATTTATTTCACTCAGTATATGATTATTTGTTCTTGCTGTTACTCACAAGTATTCAAAGAAAATTAACATCTAATATCAAACATGAGTTAACTATGTGCAGCTGCTAAAAATACTCAATTTCATTTTTCTTCAGTAGTTTAGTATCATTGATATGGTTCTTGGCAGTAAAGAAAACTTTGAATGAAAAAAACATTTATGTCAATTTTTTTCATTTTCTAGATATCTGTAGAGGAGGTACTGAAAGCATTATGAAGTTTTTATGCTCTGGTAAGAACTAAATATAATTTATTTCTAACAACAAATATTAATACTTCTGTGACTTTAAATTTCATCACATAAAAACTTAAAACTTAAGAAATATCCAGAATTTAACCCATATAATTTTTTTTACATTTTTGCTGTTTTTTCATTCTACAAAACCATACAGTTTATTGGTAGCATAGTGACAGTCAGTAAACAAACTAGTGGATGTAGTATAAAAAATGTTGTTCAAACCTAATTTTGTATTATAAGTTTTTATGTTTAATTATAGTATGTTGATAATATAAGATTTTACCTTTATTTGATGTAAAAATGCCCTAATTTTTAAGTGTAAAATTAAAAAAACCAATAAAAAGGTGAATTATGATACAAGTTATAGTTGTGGTATTTCATTATTGAAAAGAAGAGGATTGGATCATTACTTTTGTTAGTATACCCATATTATGTATATACTCCTAATATATCATATTAAGTTTGTTTAATTGTTTGAATATACTGAATTAAAGTTTTTGGCTTTCATCTAAACTTAGGTTTTGTATATAACTAGATGTAAGACTCATATGAAAAATGTTGTACATTATATAACAAGAAACTGAAAACAATACACTTGCTTCCGCTGACTGTACACTTTTACATAGGCAGTAGCTGCTCCATTAAGTCTTATTTAAATTATAAATTGCTCCTTTTTCTTAGTGTCAGTTTCTGTATTCCTATGGGCTGTAAATAGCTTCTAATTTTCTTTGTGCCAATGTCTTAAATTATATTTGGTTTCCTTTAGAAAAATTTAATGCTGTTCTTTAAAATGTATATGGTACCAGTAATACATGTACTATTTTATGTTTTCTGTTGCATATTTTTTGTGTTTATTTTTTTCATCAAAGAAACTGGCTAAAAAATATATATATTCATTATCTTCTCATTCCTTCCTTTACAACTCATGTATTAAATGGCAACTACCCGTTAACTGAATATAATTACAAGTTATCTGAACTTTAAATTGATAACATGCTTTCCTTTTTCTTTTGATTGTATTTTGGAATATCTTAATTTCTGTAGGTAATAATTATATTATGATACTTTTAGGCTCTTTTTTTGCTTTGCATAGTTAATTGAAATCAAATTTCTTTTATTGACTGAATATTTTCTATTTTGTAGAAAATGGAACAGAATATGTTCCTCCTGATCAACTCAAGACTGAAATGTATGGTTTATGTAAAACAGGTGAAAAGTGTACCTCTACCCAAAACCACAGACCCTCCTGGTCTGAGAGTGACTTTCCTGTAAATTCTTATTTTTTAATCTTTGTGCATAAATTTACATACTTTAAAATTATATCATCCATTTTTTTCTGTTAAAATTAATATTGGTTTGAAAATGTGTAAAAGTTTCAAGCCTTAAAAGTAATAAACTGGAGCAAAGTCAAATCAATTTATAGTAAAGTATAACTATGAGAGCTTTCTAATGATGCAAGTAGCATATACCTGTTTCTTTAAAAAACCTAGAACTTTTTTTTTATTATTTGTGCTAGCAATGTTTGTACTTTCCAGGGCAATTTTAGCATATGAATAACTCAATTTAACAAGATTTTTACCATTTGGCCTTCCTAAGCCTAATCTTTCAACTGTTCTTTTACTGGATAAGTTTTCATTAACACATATAACCTTTTACAACAAAAAATTGTAAGGTATTGGAAATAAGATTTCTGTGATAAAGTGAATGTATTTAGCTGGGTTTGACTTTGAAGTATTGGTATAGATATAGATTTCATTAAACTACTTACCAATTTGGTTGGGTAAAGAATACTAATTTTTCTTAAACAGTATAGTTGATGCTCAGAGGTGAAACCTCAGTTTGAAGTACTTGCATAACTTTTAAACTTTCTGTAACTCCTATGACTCAGCTTTAGGTTTGTCTTTATACATATACTTCTAGTACATTGAACACTTCATACATTAACTTAACCCTATCACGATGGGCATCCTTTACTGGACATGTAACGAGGTTTTAGCATCTTATCTTCAACATTTTATTAAACTACTTTTTGTTTATGCTTTTCCAGTTAGTATAGAATAAAACTGTAGTTAATAATCCATATTTTAATAGTATTTAAGTTCTAAGTTCTTAATTTGATAAGGCAATATTAAAAAATCTTGAATTTCCCCTAGTTTGACACATGACACATTTTCTCTAAGCATCTTCTCTATTTTATCCACCACCCCTCTAATAAATACAAAATTAAATGTAAATTACTCACTATAAAATCGTCATTAATCTGACAAACCATAATTTCTATAGCCTTCAATTTTGTTGGTTACAGAGCCATGATATAGAAAATCAGACCCCTCTTGCCACACCCATCTGTCACATCCTGTCTTCCAGGATTTCTTAATTCTATATTATCTATAACCCACAGAAAGCAAAGGTTTTCATTTATCAAGTGATGTATTGTATAATATTGTTTTCTGAACAGAGAATTGTCAATTTCACTCAAAGTACAAGCTCCGTTCCCGTGGAAAAGTTAACAACTAGCTTGGATGAACCTGTAATGGCTCTTGTCGCATAGTTAGGAAGCCAGAAATATTGTAATAGTTAGAGGAAATTGCCTATATTTTGCAAGTTATTAGTCTATTAGTTATTATTTAGTGCAATACTACCATTAGTATAAAAAGTAGGGTTTAGTGTCATCGACAGTCGACAGCAAAAAAAAAGAAGGCCCGGGTAAGTACTTTATTTCTTGTTTTTCATGTTTATTCTTTATTTATTGTAATAATAGTAACTAAAATGTAAAAATAGGGATCTCTTTACGTTAGATTAGGTAAAATAAATAATAATAATAGTATAATAAAAATGTTTCACGAAGCACGCACGCAAGAAGCTTATGGGTAATTTGATAGTGTATCGTGACCTCCACATTCCCCAATTGATTTACAACTTTTAATGGTGCGAATAGTAGTTAGACACTGTTCAAAAGTCAGTAAAACAATAAAATTTAATTATAAATAGATGTATACTATTACAAGTTTCAAGCTACTTAGGATAAATGAATGTGGTTTCAAATTACAATTTAAAGTCATTCTAGAAAGAAAAAAGGGTGATTTAGAATTATTCCTATTTCTTTTTGGTGGTTAAGAGGTCAGCAAGCTGGCCAACATTGTATAGAGTTAGGGTAGAGAAAATAACAGATAAATTATAAATTTTTAGTGAAAACGAATATTTGAAATGTATTTAGAAGGTTTTAGAGAATAAACAAATCTGAGATTTTTTTAGATGAAGAAAAGTATTTTTAATCTTAACATGAAAATCACTTTGCACACGGACTATTCAAAACAAATACTCCATAGTAAAAAATTCTTCATTAAAAAAACTGATTTTTTTGTGTACAAAATACTTGTAATTTGTAAAAAGTCAGCCAAATTTTGGGAAGATACACACAATTAAAACTATATATTAGGTCGTTACAAATTAATGTTGCTTTTTTTTTAGTTGAAAAAACCCAAACAACTTGTATATCAAAACAAAACATTTATTTAATGAAATAGTCTCCATTCTTATTGATGATGCTTTTCCATCTTACAGTCAGGATGTTAATATCTTGATTAAAGAAATCACTTGGCTTTGAAGCAAAAAAACATGTCAGTGTCCTCTTTAACACCTTTCACATTTGCATACGTTTTCCCA